TTTCTCACGTCATAATGCAATATTTTCGGAACTTAAATGCAATATTCTTCATTGATCATCTAACCTCTTGGAGCAAATTCGTAGTGCACAACACTCTCACAATCGAAAAAAAAAGTCGTTAAGTAGGTTGACTCTGCACTTACCACCAACGCCTTATCAGTACATAAAGGAATATGTTTTATCACAAAAGTTAGTCAAACAGGTGCATACAATAATTGCCCTACTAGTCCATCATGGAACGTCGCTTCTCCCCGATACCTAACTCGGTAAGATGTAGCAGCGCGACCCCTGTATAGGAAACACCATGCGCTGCAGTAATATATACTAAGTGACATATAAATCCGAACACCCAGTTTAAATGGTTTTATTTTAATAAAATTTTGTATAAGTACTTAATGAAGCATAATAAGTAAATGATAAAAATTTCAAAATGATTGCACTGCTTTAAAGCCCTTTGACCTTTAATAATGTGTGGATGCACCCTGATGTGCTACGCATTCTCCAACGCGCCTAGGCATGCTTCTGATCAGGTGGTCAATGTCCTCCTGTGGTATCTCATTCCAGGCAACCACCAACTCCTCTCGAAGTGCTTCTAGAGTCTGAGGAGGACGTTGCAAATTGAGCAATCTCCTACCCCTCATATCCCACACGTGCTCAATTGGGGATAAGTCGGGAGATCTTGGTGGCCATGGTAACAATGTGACATCATTATGTTGAAAGAAGTCTATTGTGACTCTTGCAACACGTGGTGGGGCATTACCTTGTTGGAAAGTTGGATCTGCAAGGGTGTCAAGATAGGGTAAAAGATGGGGTTCTAGAACTTCGTGGATATAACGCTGCGCGTTCATGTTATCTCTGATGAAGACTAAAGGTGACCTGGAACCATAAGCTATAGCACCCCAAACCATAACTCCAACAGTATGATGAACATGTCTTTCAACAAAAAACTGTGGATTCCTCCTTTCACCACGTCGCCTTCTAACCCTGACACGACCATCGTGCATGCCTAAACAAAATCGAGACTCGTCACTAAAGACAGTACTGTTCCATTCCTCATCCCAGAGTGACCGTTGTCTGCACCACTCAAGGCGATTACGTCGGTGTTCTCGAGTTAAAGGGAGGACCCAGTGTGGCCGGTATGAAAACAAGCCAAAACTTCTCATTCGTCGGTAAACACTTCGCATGCCAATAGGTCTTCCGTGTTCTGCAAACCATTCATTTGCAATGGACCTGGTAGTGGAGAAACGGTCCCTTAAGGCCAATAATCTTAGGCGGCGATCTTCACGGTCTGTTGTTCTACGGCGGCGTCCAGTGCCCCTTGCTCTTTGCGTACGGCCTTCTCGAAGCCATGCCTGACAACACCTAACCACAGTGTCTACACTTCTTTGCACTCTAACTGCAATTGCCCGAAAAGAAAGTCCAGCTTCCCGAAGTCCCACTATACGGCCCCAATCAAACTCACTAAGTTGACGAAATCGTACAGGTCTCCGTACTCTAGGCATCGTAACCGATCGTAAAAGATGTCAAGAACCAAAATTCGCCAACGTTGATTCTTTACTGCGGCTGAAATATTCATTTTTAGAGCTTTAGTGAATTAAAAAACAGCAGTATAAAAACCGGAATGTCCAACTGATAAGGCTAAAAATTTTTTCACTTGTTATTTACAGTAAGATAAATACATTCACCAACTTTTATTAAAATAAAGCCATTTAAACTGGGTGTTCGGATTTATATGTCACTTAGTATATGTACCAGAACACTTATCAATGCCGCAGGAGCAGAAGCGGTTGCGGGTGTGCAGTATACTGAGAATGCGCTGCCGTGGTATGTACAGAAAATCCACCCTACTGACGCGTGATTTTATTGCTGTACATATACTCATACGTATAGAGGGTCCTCAAGATAAGGATCCTATGTATGGGGAAATTAGTACCTGTGGGAAATACAGCTTAGATTAAATTAGGAAAAAGATGCATTTTTTTGGGCGTATTTAAATGCCGTTGAGAAATTGTAAAAGTTACATGGCTTACTGAGGTATTTAGGAAATCAGCTAAATCGTTTTTATTTTTTTCTGACTGTACTTTAGGAGATACCAAAAAACTAATCGAAGTTTTTCATTAACACTTTTTATTCACGTAATGATAAGTGTTTTCAAATTTTGTGCCCGACGTTTGGTTATTACACCCTGTATAGCATCTTTCTTTATGAATTTATTGATGTATCGTAACATTTCTTTCTTAGTTATACAGAAATATTTTTTTTTATTTTATTTAAGTAGCCGTTGCAAACAAATGCTTGATCTACGATTATGGGACTACTGATAGATGCATATTACATATCACATAATGATATGATGGGGTAAAATTTTATAAAATCATATTTAATCTAGTGATACTCAGAATAACGATATTTTTGATATTATTTTTATTTTAATCACAATAGGTGTTTAAATAAGTTGGCATTATTTTCTAAATAGATTCAAAAGATCTTGTAACATTTCTGGTGTGATCATACTAAATGCTTCCATGACACATTCTCGTAACTTCTGCTCAGTTTCAAATTCAAAAGCGCTGATAAACTTGGTTTTTAATACAAACACCAAACAAAGAAGTCGAGAGTTGTTGGGAACGCGCTGGTCAGGACACTTCACTTGAGATTCCAATTCACCTTCCGGGAAGTCGCTGAGAAAGATACTCTTCAACTATTAACCTGTGCCAAAGGTAAATTATCTTCTAGATCATGTTGCAACGATTGAAGGTACCGTTCTGCAGTTAATGAGTTGTGGTAAATAAATGGACCTAATATGTTGGTCCCTAGAATTTGAATTCTAAAGATCCCTTTTATTTCGAGACGTTACAGGCTTTTTGAATGAATCATATTCATTTGAATTTCGAGCCAACTTTGAGAAAATGGACTTACCCCCTTTTTCGGGAAATTTATCCAGATACATTTCTGCAGTATCTTACAAAGTGTAGCACGTCAGCATGACGAACTTTTCTTCATTGCTAAAATGACCACCTGGCACCTTTGACGATAATGTATACTAAGTGACATATAAATCCGAACACCCAGTTTAAATGGTTTTATTTTAATAAAATTTTCTATAAGTACTTAATGAAGCATAATAAGTAAATGATAAAAATTTCAAAATGATTGTACTGCTTTAAATACCTTTGACCTTTAATAATGTGTGGATGCACCCTGATGTGCTACGCATTCTCCAACGCGCCTAGGCATGCTTCTGATCAGGTGGTCAATGTCCTCCTGTGGTATCTCATTCCAGGCAACCACCAACTCCTCTCGAAGTGCTTCTAGAGTCTGAGGAGGACGTTGCAAATTGAGCAATCTCCTACCCATCATATCCCACACGTGCTCAATTGGGGATAAGTCGGGAGATCTTGGTGGCCATGGTAACAATGTGACATCATTATGTTGAAAGAAGTCTATTGTGACTCTTGCAACATGTGGTCGGGCATTACCTTGTTGGAAAGTTGGATCTGCCAGGGTGTCAAGATAGGGTAAAAGATGGGGTTCTAGAACTTCGTGGATATAACGCTGCGCGTTCATGTTATCTCTGATGAAGACTAAAGGTGACCTGGAACCATAAGCTATAGCACCCCAAACCATAACTCCAACAGTGTGATGAACATGTCTTTCAACAAAAAACTGTGGATTCCTCCTTTCACCACGTCGCCTTCTAACCCTGGCACGACCATCGTGCATGCCTAAACAAAATCGAGACTCGTCACTAAAGACAATACTGTTCCATTCCTGATCCCAGAGTTACCGTTGACTGCACCACTCAAGGCGATTACGTCGGTGCTCTCGAGTTAAAGGGAGGACCCAGTGTGGTCGGTATGAAAACAAGCCAAAACTTCTCATTCGTCGGTAATCACTTCGCATGCCAATAGGTCTTCCGTGTTCTGCAAACCATTCATTTGCAATGGACCTGGTAGTGGAGAAACGGTCCCTTAAGACCAGTAATCTTGGGCGGCGATCTTCACGGTCTGTTGTTCTACGGCGGTGCCCATTGCTCTTTGCGTACGGCCTTCTCGAAGCCATGCCTGACAACACCTAACCACAGTGTCTACACTTCCTTGCACTCTAACTGCAATTGTCCGAAAAGAAAGTCCAGCTTCCCGAAGTCCCACTATACGGCCCCTATCAAACTCACTAAGTTGACGAAATCGTACAGGTCTCCGTACTCTAGGCATCGTAACCGATCGTAAAGGATGTCAAGAACCAAAATCCGCCAACGTTGATTCTTTACTGCGGCTGAAATATTCATTTTTAGAGCGTTAGTGAATTAAAAAAAAAGCAGTATAAAAACCGGAATGTCCAACTGATAAGGCTGAAAATTTTTTCACTTGTTATTTACAGTAACATAAATACATTCACCAACTTTTATTAAAATAAAACCATTTAAACTGGGTGTTCGGATTTATATGTCACTTGGTATAATATTAACAATACACAATAATATGAAAAAACGCATTTTTCCTTATAACCAAGAGAATAAATGTAACATGTTATACATCATTGATTTCGTATAAAAAAGCTACTAGATACAGGATGTACTTTTTTCGGACCAGATAAAAAAATAAAGTTGATGATGGTTTCTCAAAAACGAACCGTCGGACACAAAATTTAAAAATACCATCATGTAGTGCCTAAAAAGTGCCAATGGAAAAGCTTCATTGGTTTTTTGATATTTCTTAAAATAAATTAATTAAGAAAAAATAAAAAAGATTTGGCCAAATTTCAGTTTTTTCCAAACATCTCAGTAAGGCATGGAATTTTTACAAGTTTCTCAACGGCATGTAAATACGCCCCAAAGAACGCAGCTTTTTCCTAATGTAACCTAAGCTGTATCTCCAACAGGTATTGAGCTCGCCATGCATCGGATCGTTATATTGGATACCCTGGATACTGTGGTAGCACCACCTTGGCCCAGTGTTTGCGTTTGAGCCTTGGTTTAGCTAAGTGATCTGATTGCTTACCTTAATGCTTCTGGGCATTCCACTGTCGGCGTGAGGTTGTAGGCCTTCATCTCCAACAAATCTAAACAACCTTGGTCCATGTTCAGGTACAGTGGCAGGAGTCAGTTCAGTTGGTTCGTCTTCGTATGGTTTCCGACGGTGGAAGTCATCCAAAGGTACGCTTTCTACTGTTCCTTTCACCATTTGTTCTGGCAGTTGCAGTTGATGTTTTTGGGTGGGATGAATTGGGGCTTTGCGTTCCACTAACCTAAGAAATATTAATTCAGACTGTTATAATTTTTGCATGAAACGGTATACACACGGTGTAAAGTTATAGATGGACGAATGAAAACTAGAGGAGACCTTTTGATGTATGCGGGTTTATTTTTTTTAAATCATTTGAATATAAATTAAAAAACAGTTACCCGATGGACAGTAAAAATTATGAAACGGCTTCATCATTCATTTTCCACTTTTTTCGGTTATATTGAGATCTACTTCTTCGACCAGGCTATTTACATATTTATGTATACTCAATGACATTTGGAGAGTTACATCCAGAAAAATTAACTTGTTTATTTGCCTCATAATGACTATATATTATAGCATGTTGTGGCAATAATGTCAACGTTTTATCTTTGTTTTTGTTTACTTTTGTTAAAACATTATGTCTCAGTTTTTGTGATGAATGCAGTTTCTGAGCGCTGCGTAGTACAGATATTTTTAGTTATTGCACTTTCATTTACTGGTGTTGAGCATAACAAAATGTCTCGAGTTTGAAGTGTTCAACATTATCACCATGTTAGTAACTTTGACAGGGGTAGAATTATTGCCTATCGAGATGTTGGCTTGTCCTATCGCGAAATTAGCCGTCTTGTTAATTGTACTGCAGTGCCGGTTATGCGTTTGTGTGGTGTGTGGATAGAAGTAGTAGAGGAACACGAAGAAGGCCAACTAGTCCACCAAGGCGAACCACAGAGCGTCAACATACACGCTTCAGACAACTAGCTCTAAGAGACCGTTTTCCTACTACGCGTCAGATCGCTAACCAAAGGCTTGGTAAAAAAGGCAGACATGTCACTATGCGTACACTCTATCGCAATATTCGAGTCATTGGACTCTTTTCATATCGTCCACGCTTAGTGCTTCCTCTAACTGCGGACCAGGCGTTAATGTTTTGCCGTGGCCACCCCGTTCACAGGATTTAAATCCCATCGAACATGTGTGGGGTAAGATAGAGAGACTATCCACTTTGCACAATCCGCCACAGACTCTGTCACAGCTAATCCGCGAAGTTCGAGTTGCTTGGAATAAGGTGCCACAGCCAGACATCGATCATCTCATTTTGTCGATGCCTAGACGTATGCAGGAATGTATTCAGCTGCAGGATCGCCCAACACATTAATTTTTTTTCTTATTACTTTTCAGCAAAATTTCGTTTTCTGTTTGATGTAAGACTACCTTATTGACAAAAAATCAAGTTGAAGAAATTATTTTTTCTGAGTGTAACACTTCTAATCTATATAATATTCCATTGCTAGCTTACTTTTTGTGTAAAATTTATCTACTATCTTGAATACAGCTTATTAATCGTTTATCATATGTGTATGTAACTGCTTCCAGGGAAAATTTTACTTTTTTTTCTAGTTCTTCAAGTGTGAACTCGCTGGTAATTAAGTAGAGTAGCCTGCGGCTAGACTTCGCCACCAGTCTTGTTGATTTTTCTATGTATGTGTTATTTTAATGAAATAAAAGACTTGTATTACTATTATCATTATTATTTTGATTTATAGATATCCAGAGAAAAGGCAACCTGATCTTTTAATATTATCAAGGATTAAGAAAAAAATAGTAGTTTATCCGGCTCCGACCAAAAACGTATAATAAAGAAAATCGCGGAGGAAGTCAACGTTTTGGCATGTGTAGAGTACCAGAGCAGAAAGTTGGTGTTCCCAAGACTCGGGTTCAAGGAATATTGGTCAATAAGATCCTTGTGGTGCAGAACGACGTTTAGATACTGTTTGCAAGTGGTATTTGGAAGACATTCGCATCGATAACAACTTTAGCAGATCTATAATATGATGCGACGACGCCGACTTTTCGAATGCAGGAATTTTTAATAGACAATACTAGGCACTGATCTCAAGAAAATAACCATGTGATATTCGAGGGAAGAAAAAGATCGATTTGGATTTAGCGTTGCTTGTTTTATTTTGGGGCGACAAATACAATATAGAATTTATGAAGGCTGTCTTTCAGGAAACATATCTTGAAATTTTTAAAGAAGTTATCCCTGTGTTACTAGTCAATGTCCTTTAGCTTAAAAGTATACAATTTCAACAGGATGGTGCGCCTGCCTACAATGCCAGAATTGTTCAAACTTTTATGCAACAATTTTCTGCAAAAGTAGATTGGTAGTAATGGACCAATTAGATGCCTCCCCGGTCGCCCGACCTATCCGTTCTAGATTTTTCTCTGTGAGGCTATTTGAAGAATAAGATTTATAGTACCCGACATCGGACAATATATGAACTACGTAATGCCACCAATGTTGCATTTCAAAACGCAAGGGCATTCCATAATTATCTGAAATGCTTCAAAAAGAATAACCGCTCTATGTCTACATTGCGTTCGAGGAAATGGGAACCATTTTGAGCAATTCCTTTAATATAAAAGTCTATTAAGGGATTAATATCCATATTAATTTTATATTAATATTAAGATGAAATATCACAACTTTTATTTTGTTTTCTATTTATTATACAAAATACATGCAATACACAGGGTGTCCCATGTGTGGACGGAATATTACTCATAAACAAATAGATTCTGGGAAAATCTATCTATGGGGTGTTATACACGACATTTGTGGGCACATTTCTAAGATATTGGTCATTATACAGGATGTCCCAATTTCGACCTACCTGGTAATTAGCTACTGAGATATAAGGTGTTTTGTCTAGAAAAAAACCCCACTTCGATAACCCCTCAGTCCGCCATTTTGAAATTTAGAGTGCTGAATTTTGTATCAAAAGACTCTTACACACCTTAGCTTTTATCTCATTTATTACTTTTTCGAATTTTAATTTTTGCTCATACAGGGCGGTCAAAAACGCAAATTGTAGTTTTTCTCAAAAATTTCAAATGCATCACCCTGTATATTTGAGCAAGTTTGGATTTAATTATTTATAAGCTTTTTTTTGATACTATACACATAAGGATTTTCACGGCTATTTTTTCGGTTATTAGCACGTCTTTTATGGAACGATTTAATTCCCTAAAATATGGAAACAAATAAACTGTTGATTAGTTACAAATTGTCAAAATTAGCTTTGTGAGCATTATCATGGAAAACGTGTTTGAAAATGAATTTTTCTAAAGAAGAAATGGTGAATCTGGTGTTCGTTTTGGGCGAAGCCCAATGAAATAGTTTCCTAGCATCTCGCATTATATCTTGGCCTATATCTTGGTCTCCTAAATCACCAGATATCACACCGATAGGCTTCGTCCTATGGGGCTACGTTAAGCAAGATGTTTATAGATATCCACCATCCACCCCGAAAAATATGAAGGAAAGGATTAAGGATGCTTTTCTGAACATAAGGGAACGCATGCTGAGGGATGTGCAAAGGTCATTTATCCAAAGACTACTGCTGTGTATTCAACATGGTTGAGCAGTTTTTGTAGATTCGGTCTTCAGTAGTGATAGGCGTTTTTCTCTATTACGCTTAAAGCTGAATACTGTTCCGATTGTTATAGTTTTTACGTCAAATCTATACTCTTAGTGGCAATATGGAACTAGCCCACTGTTTGTCTTTTGTTTCCATGGATGATGTGATTTTTTTCCTTAATTTTGGTGTGTTGTTCTATTAAAAGCTTAATAACTCAAAAGGTAGTGATTTTATCTGAATCAAACCATATACCAAAAAAAGCTAACAAGAAATTGAATCCAAACTTACACAAATATACAGGGTGATGCATTTGAAATGTTTTAGAAAAAGTACAATTCGCGTTTTTGACCACCCTGTACGAGCAAAAATAAAATTCGAAAAAGTAACAAATAAGATAAAAGCTGAGGTGTGTAAGTTTTTTTTGATACATAATTTAGCACTCCAAATTTTAAAATGGCGGATTGAGGGGTTGCCAAAGAGGACGGTTTTTCTGGACAAAACACCTTACATCTCATAAGCTAATTACCAAAACCCCATAGTATGTCACAGCAATCTTCTTCCTTTGAATTGTTTTATCCAAATATGCAATAAAATTTGAGGCATTCCATTTAAAAAATCACAGCTTTGATATGTAGGTCAAAATTGTGACATCCTGTATAATTGCCAATATTTTAGGAATGTGCCCTCAAATGTCAGGTATAACATGCCATAAATCGATTATCCTAAAATGTATTTGTTTATGAGTAATATTCCGTCCACACATGGATGGGCCACCCTGTATATATATATCTAAGGGCCATATCGTCAGTCGTTCCTACAATTGTGGTATGCCTTTATGGTTTTCATAGTTTTCTACTTTTCCGTGTCGGTTTTCTAATTTGAGGTTATGTCACAAATAGCTATTTGCATCAAATTGTTCATGCTTTTGATTTATACCATGTTTTATCAGTCTGACATTTCCTACAATTCAAAAAGAAAACATAATAGTCTAATCATATCTGGCGGAAATACCCCTGGTTTGCGAAATAATTGTAAAGTCTGGTTTTATTGATGCAAGTTGTTCCAGGGGGTATTTTAAACATGGACTCATAAAATGGGTACATCAATTTTTGTGGGAAAACTTTTTATTCGACAACAAAGAATGAGAAAACGTGTTTTTTGGGATTCAATCGAAAGTGTTGACAGAAACGAAAAAACTCTTCAAATAAGATTTTTAGGTATTTAAACGTAAAAAGATCGGTCTAATAGTAGAAGTTATGGCCAAAAAACGAGGCAAAATGTAGGTTTTGGCATTTGCTGCTAATGCTACGATAATTTCAAGCAGCTACTTGAAATTTTTCCTATCCGTAGGCTTCATACTTCTAAGTAACCACAACAAAATTGGAGTCGATTGATCAGGTAGTTTTTGAGAATTTCTGTTTATCCCAAAACAACTGTCATCCGGCTATCACTACTACACTAGTTTACTGAGCAATATACAGGGTTCGTTCAAAGGATATTTCATAATAAAATACACGAGTTTACCTTGCCGACATAAATCACAAACCACTCCGAAAGATAATTGTTGTTTTTATGCGAAAAACGAAGGGTTACCTTTTTTTCTTCTAAACAAATTCAAATATTTCGTATTTGTGAGTAATTGAACAGATTCGCTACGATATTCTAAGAACATAAGTTATTATACACATTTTAAAACAAAGTGTATGTGTCCATCACCTTTTGTTGCGAAGAAAACAATTTTTTTTAAGATTTCTTCATACTCTTCATATTTAAAACTGAAATTCTTACACGGTCACAGATGAGCCCAAAAGTTTATAAAAATAAATATTTGATACCTAAATGCGCTGAACTGTCTATAAATTTAGCACGCAAAATGAAGGCACAATTATGTTTCAAACTGTCTTAGCCTAGTTAGTATGTAGCATGTGCTAAATGTCTGCATTATTGATGACTGCATGACTTTGTCAAATAAGTTGGTCACGTAATCCAGTCTCTTTATGAAGAAATATAATTCCCTGGTACCTTTTTTCTGAAAGCTTTAGTATAGTATACGTCTGTTTTCGAATTCTCGTACGATTAAAACGACTGCGTGTTCAAAATATTAGAAAATAAGCTGACCGTCTTCAAAATTAGGCAGAGTGCTCGGTATCAGTCCCTAATACATTATTTAAAGTTTCAGCATTGTATCTTGTATAGTTTTCAAGAGTATTCTAATTGTTTATAACATATTTGATATGCCTTCAACGTTCGCTTGACATTTGTCAGTGTCACATGTAGGGGTATAAAGATCCGGTAAATCAAGAGACGTCGTAGCGTAATGGGAGAGAACGGCGATTTCTGAACCGCTGGACGGAGGTTCAATGCTCATTTTTGCTATTATTTTTTTTATATTTATAAATGTTTTTTCACATTATGTGTAGTTTTATAGCGATTTTTCGCACGCCATAGACAATGTAAGCTTGCAAACAGGAAACCAGCACTATACGTAAATATTATTTTTTTTTATTTAAAATCACACCATATTAAGATAATTACGTTTTACTTTCATACAACTACAACGCTTCTCCACAAAACAAGCACCAGGCAAGAATCGTAGGGCTTTCCTGAACTGTAGAATAGATCTTTATAAATATAACATTTTTTTTTTCAAAAAAAATTAACTGCAATAAAAACAAAGACTTAAGGTATTTTGGTTTCGAATTTATTGTGATTCCAATATGTCAGCGCCGTGTGAATAGAGGGATCAAGATAAATAGTAAAACTTTTATTTTTAGCGGTTTTATTGCAATAACTTGAAAAATCGTTGCCCGATTTTGGTGCTCAAAAATATGATCTGTGAACGTCTTAGGACTAAAAAGACGGCCAAGGTTCATCCGCCCAGCGATAGAATAACTTGGTCAGGAAATGAAGAAGAAAATGATTTTCAACCCTATTTTTCGCAAACAAACAATTGAAAAATAACATTTTTTCTTGGCAGGACCCATATTCTCGTAGAATAATCCTTCTCATACGTTTCCAAAAAATGATTTGTCGACTTACAATTTCACCAACGATTTTGCTATATTTCTTATACTATTTGTATATGGGGGCTTATTATATTGGTATCGAGATTTTCTGTCATCTGTCTTTCGTTGATCCACCCTGTATAACTCAGTACTTCAATCGCAGCGTTACAAAACGTACTGCAGCTAGTTTTTTATTTTAGTCTAGAACAGGGCTGTCCAATGAGCCAAAATTATATTTTTCACCATATTTTACACCTTATAATCCCCTTGAACGTTCTAACTTTCGCGAGAGCCCCTGGATTATTAGAATGTACATGGTGCTAATTAAGTATTACCATAAATTCAACAGACGATTCTTTGAGTAATTTTAGACAAAAAATTCGTATAAACATAGATCAGAAGATTCTTAGTGTTCAAGTTACAGGGTGTTAGAATAAAAAAAGGTGTTTCGTAAATATTAAGTCCAGTGGCGTCTCTAGCGGGATCTGAACGAACATTTGTGACAAAAATGATACGCCACTGACTTTTGTGCAATTTTTATTATGGTCGTTGGATTGGGCAAATAAAAATACAACATTTTTGACTCTTGAATTTTTTGCTTAGTTTTCGAGAAAAAAAGTCCAGTTAATTGCATGTCCCTGGATCACACAAGGAATATGGGGAAAAGTTTCTTTTGAAAATTATCATTTTTTTATAATCTTTTATTACTATGTTAATGTAAGTATTTGTTCCCTTTTTGTTTTTTATACTCCAACTACCACGAAGGCCTAAGGCTTAAACACCCATTGGGTACCGTGGGGCTATAGGGGGATACAGAGGAAAGGGGGAACGCCACAGGGACTCTGGCGGGGGAACACGTGTGCATGCAAAATGCACACATTCTGGCTCCGCCTACGAGATCCGCCGGGTGGTACCTCCACGTTCGACAGTCAGAGACCGTCTACCACCTACGCTGTTACATAATTAGTAATAAAAAATTATAAAATAATAATTTCCAAAAGAAACTTTTCCCGTACTCCTATTTTTTTCTCGAAAACTAGGCAAGATACGACAAAAATTGAAGAGAAAAAACATATAATTACAACAAAATTAAGTAAAGGATATTTAAAATATATATGAAAAAACATTTTGTTAAATTTTAACACCCTGTATCTTGAGAACGAAGAATATGCAGACCTATGTTTATACGAACTTTTTGTCTTAAAATTACTCAAAGAATCGTGTTAAATTTTGTGGTACATAAGTATGTATATTTTGACTTAAGTTGGTAATCCTCTTACCTGTATTTTGGATTATGATAATTATTATTTGCACTTATAGGTTGATTCTTGCTATACTTATTATCATACAAAGTATTCTGCGGCATCCCAGCAATGATGTTACCAATAGCATCTTCCTCTAGCATTCCATTCGAGTAGTCATCGCTGTAGTAGTAACTGCCTTCTTTGTCCTTTCTGTCGACGTCATAAGTCCTTTTAGCGATGCCTCCAGCAAACGGATACAGAAAATATCCTGCTAGTCCTGCAGTGATCATCAAGCCTACCAGGCCTGCACCAACCGTTGGCATTATTTCTCTGGATAAATAGTTATACAACTGAGTACCTACAATCAAGGATTGATAACGATGAAATTGTGAAAGCTGTCACTATACCCAAAAATGTCATTCAGTATAATTGTAAAGGGTACTATAAAAGTTTTGCAATATGACAAACGGATGCAGGAGGCTGCATGTTACTGCATGTTGAGACATGTCCATGAGTGCATAATAGCCGCCAGCAGCACATCTCTTGATTTAGTTTTTCATTAGTATTGACAGTGTAAAGTACGGACTACGGCATCGTGGTCACGTAGTCAGATAAGGGCAGTTTTACGGTATAACTTTACGCGTGGTTTAAGCATTGACCAGTGCTTAAAAGAAATGACGCTTTCATCACAGAATGATTGACCTCATCGTACGAGTATATTCAGGTGGTACACAGAATTCCAAGAGGGCAATTTCACTCTGGAGGACGGTGATAGGGAGGGAAGGAAGGCCGCGAACGTCAATAACAGAGGCAAACATTACTGCTATGAGGAAAATGCTTGACGAAGACCGGAGAGTGACATACCAACAGATAGAGGAGACCTTACATCCTCATGCACCAGCAATTCATTCAATTCTGCATGGCCATTTACACGTAAGGAAACTTTGTTCTCTCTGCGTACCGCATAGTCTGACGGAAGAGAGAAGATTCGACAAATGACGTGGTGCCGAAAGATGCTGACAATGTTTGATAAGGGGCAATGTCGGTATGTGAACAGCATCGTGACAGGTGACGAGATTCTCCCTGCAGACATTCGTCAGAAAATTTCTGACAAAAGAGCTGCAATTAAGCAAGCGAAGAGGTCTTGTCACCCAGATGACATTCACAGAGCAACTAATCTTGTTCATGAAGTGAGAAATGCTCTTCATGAATTCCGTAATGAGCAATGGAGCGACTTTCTGTCGGGGATGCTTGACTCAAGTATTCCTCTCTGGAAAGTTGCAAAGTCACTCAGAAACGGAAAGCGAGAACAACTCCCTCACATCCACGGTCCTAGGGGCATAGTCTGTAGGACAGAGGAAACGGTCGAGGTTTTCGCTGATGCAATGGAAAGTCAGTTCTCTCCCAACTATGACCTTGATAATGACCTCGACGAGGAGCAACATATTGTAAGATCCGTCAGGAGATATTTTAGGGCCAACGGCGTCAGTGGCAGTAGTTCCTCCCTTAGTGATTTTTCCTCAGAGGAATCTTCAGATGATTCCTCAATTGAAGAACTGCACGGCACATCAGCGAGATCTCCTGAGACTCCGCATTGCACACCAGCAGAGCTCCAAGGTCATATTAAAGACTTCAAGGTGCGTAAAGCACCTGGAGAGGATCGAATTACTAATAAGGCGCTGAAGCTACTTTCGCGGAAGTCCTTAACTTATCTCGTGGCAATAATCAATGCCATGCTAAGGACCCAGCACTTCCCAACGACGTGGAAGACCGCTGATGTCATAATGATTCCAAAGAAGGCGGGTTCGATATTCCCTCAGGATTACCGCCCCATTAGTCTACTGTCAGCTCCTTCTAAGCTCGCTGAAAAGGTGATTCTACGTCACCTTGAAAATTTCTCGGCAGACCACAATGTGATTCCTGACGTGCAATTTGGCTTTCGGTCTGAGCATAGTACGGAGCTACAGGCCATAAGGCTTGTCGAACGAGTAACCAGCGGGTTCACCCGTAATGAAAGTACTGGCATCTTGCTACTGGATGTCTCAAAGGCATTTGACAAGGTGTGGCACAAGGGCCTTCTCTACAAATTGATCCATAAGGGCTTCCCCTTCTGGCTCCTAAAACTTTTGAAATCCTTTCTCGAGGGTAGTAAATTTCGGATCAAAATTAATAACGTTCTGTCGACAACACGGCCCATCAAAGCCGGTGCCCCTCAGGGTTCGGTTCTTGGACCAGTCCTTTATTCACTTTTTATTCATGACGTCCCTGGCCCCAGCAGCTGCGAAACCTATCTCTATGCTGATGACACTGCCCTGGTGGCCCAGTCGTGCTCTGGGGATCTAGTTCACGACAGGCTGCAAAGTGCAGTGGTCGAGGTATTGGAATGGGCGAATCGGTGGCTGATCAAAATTATTAATCATTCGAAAACGCAGGCAATCTATTGTACTAAAAAACGCAGCGGCGCCCCGTCTGAGGTTTCAGTGAATGGCGCTCGGGTACCATGGGAAAGCTCTGCTAAGTATCGCGGTATCACTCTTGACAAGGGGATAACCTGGCAGAAGCACACTGAAGCGTTAAAAACTAAATTCCAAATCTCGTTTCGGCAACTCTACCCTATGCTATGTAGAACATCAAAATTAAGTTTGATCAACAAAGTTCGACTATACAAGATGGTTATTAGACCAGCGATCACTTACGCAAGTGCGGCTTGATGTTTTCTCGCCAAAACGCATTTGCGTAGCCTGCAGGTTTTGCAGAACAGAACCTTGCGTACAATCACTAACGCCCCATGGTATGTTTCCAACGAGACCCTTCACACAGACCTTGACATCCCTTTCCTAAGGGACTACATCAAACAACAAGCGCAACTACGTTACAATCAAGCAGAATCGCATAACAACCCTTTGTTGCGCGAGTCAGTAGACTACACAGTCGAGCAAGTTCGCAAGCACACAAGGCCGCGACTCGCACTGTGAACAAAATTAAATCGCGCGACTTTAGGTCCAACCAAAATTATAATTTTTCTTCAACAACCAATCCCAAAATTAATTTTTGGATCAATTTAAAATTGCCGAATACTAACTAGCGGACCGCTCTGACAGACAATGACGAATAGTATAGGTGACGAGACTTGGCTCTGTTATGACGATGTGCCGACCAAGGCTCAAAACAAAGTTTGGGTCTTTGATGATGAGGACACACCCGTAGCTGTCAGAAAATCCGGATCTGTTAAGAAAAGATGATAGCTGTATTTTTCAAATCGAGCGGGATTGTGGAGCGTGTCGCTGTGGACACACAGAAGATAGTCACAGCTAAATGGTACACGGAACAGTACCTGCCCAAAGTCATAGAGTCTATGAAAAACCTGCGGCCAAAGTCAAGAATGGACACTTGGTACCTCCACCATGACAACGCTCCAGCTCACTGCGACAAAGCCTGTATCGAGTATATGACCACTGCTGGACTGAAACTTATTGAGCACCCTCCTTACAGCCCAGATCTTGCTCCCTGCGATTTTGCACTGTTTCCGCATGTGAAAATGAAGCTAAAAGGAAAACGGTAAACAAAAAATGGTGGCATTCAAGACTTTCAGACGGACTTAATATACAGGGTGTTCCTCAATGATATGCGAATATTTAAGGGTGTGAATCTACGTTAAAAATTAATGTTAGTTTGCTTAATAAACTATAGTCCAAAAATATTTCCTTACAAAAACTCGGGGTGTTGAAGTTTTAGGAAAAAAATGGAAGTTAATTAATATTTTCAGAATCGCCCCAGATATTTCACTGATATTCAGTACGTAGTGAAAGTTAATAACAGTTGCATATTTTTCAATGCAAAAATAATTTTTAGCTTTAACTGTGGCGTGCGGGTACGGGTATTCACATCGACAGTTTTCAAGAAAAAAATGGTACGCCAAGGGTTTTTTGCCAAATAAAGATTATTTTTGAATTACCCGTTCAATTCAAGACAAATGGTCTCCCTTGAATTGTTTTCCTCCGATGCACCATTTTTGAATAAAAAATGAAAGCCGTTCTATTGTCTAACTTACAAAATTATTATTAATTTAATTGGAAAAACTACTAAACACATTAGAGGTAACGAACAACAACAATTGACAACATAAAAATAACATTAATACCAACGAAATGATTACAAACATTGTTGAAAATGGCCCCCTTCACTTAGTATGCATGCTTCCGCCCTCCTTCTCATGGAATTGCGCACTCGTTGAAATATCCCTGGAGTGTTTTTTATTCTATCACAAGCTGCAACTATTCTTTCTCTTAATTCCTCTACAGTGTTAATGGGGGTTGTGGTGTACACTAGCCTCACAAAAAGAAATCTAAACTGTTGAGGTCTGGGGACCTTGGTGGCCATTCTTGGGGCCCACCGCGGCCAATCCAACGATTTGGATAAACAGTTTGTAAATATTTACGAGCCGCTTCACTAAAATGTGCTGGTGCACCATTATGCATGTATGTATCTGTACCTATTAAAATATGTTAAGGATATAGCAAAAAATCTACTAAAACTCTCCAAACAATTAGATGGCAAATATTTAAGGGTCTTCCTCGTACTCGTTTCAGAATGTTCTTCGACTTCGTGCAGCACTGCTTCCTCAATTTCAGGTGTTCTCACACTTAGAGGTCTACCTTCAGATGCTCCTTTTCGGACAGAACCAGTTTCAACAAGACGACGATGAATATTAGAAAAGGTTCGACTGTCTGACAAAGCACGATCGGGATATCTCTGGTGACCAATCCGTCTGGCTTGCTCACTATTACCGTCGGCAAGGCCATATACGTAATCCATTTCCGCCATTTCTGCATTTGAATAATTCACCATTATTAACAAGGTTCTAAAAACTAAATAATGAAAAAGATGTCACAGCGAACAGATTTGAATAACAGATGTCAAAAGCCAGTGACATAATCCAGAGCAACTAGATATTTATTGCCAAATTGCATTCTTCAATTATTACATTAATTTTCTCGTCAATAGAACGGTTTTTATTTTTTTACTCAAAAATGGCGCATTGAAGGAAAACAATTCAAGAGAGGTCATTTGTTTTAAATTGAACGGGGAATTCAAAAATAATTTATATTTAGCAAAAACCATTGGCGTACCATTTTTTCTTAAGAAATATCGAAGTCAATACCCGTACGCACGCCACTGTTAAAGCTAAAAATTATTTTTGAATTGAAAAATATGCAACTTTACTAACTTTCACTACGTACTAAATGTCAGTGAAATATCTGAAGCGGTTCTGAAAATATTAATTTCCATTTTTTTCCTAAAACTTCAACACCCCGAGTTTTTGTAAGGAAACATTTTTGGACCATAGTTTATAAAGCAAACTAACATTAATTTTTCATATAGATTCACACCTTTAAATATTCGCATATCATTAAGGAACACCCCGTATAGAAAAATTTAAAAGACTTCGCTCAGAGATAAAACAACAGCTAGCTGTTCCATATCGTGGCTACATTCACTCTTTAGTGTTTGACATATCCAATAAATCCGGCAATGTTGGTCTTCTATTAATAGAAAAAGAAACTCCCTGAATTCATCTTCATACATGAGGTACATTGAAATTTGCTCTAGAAGCCGTTTCCAAGGAGTCATTATACTTTTTCAATTTTTTCAAAACTATCATGGTGATACGCAGTACTAGGGTTACTAAAATGTGAACTCTTTGAATCCGTGCCAGTGTCCGAACTCACGGTATACAGATTACTCACATCATATTTCATACCAGTTTCCATATAGTAGAATCTTAAATAAAAAAGGATCTCGTTAATCCATCATACACCACTTGTTATATTACATATTAGCATTGCCGCGTCCTCATTGAAAAATCCTTTACTCAGGCAGCCAAGAACGAAAATATGAAATACAGCGTTTGTTGTAAAGTTGTTAACGAGACTGGTTAACATACCGGTGTTCAATTACTTTGAAAAGAAACGAAACGCTAATAGCACTGGACTATCATGGAGGTAGAAATCTTATCTTGGAATGTACAAGACGCCGCGGTATTGTCAAGCGATACAATGATACAATTCTTGCTTCTAACATTCTGAATATTTTTCTGTTTAACCCTTGAACTTTAGGCCGCATCGGCTGAAATTTTAATTCAACGTTCAATTAAATACAGGCGAGCTTTGGTATCTTATTGCTTGTCCGATGATGGGGTAATGACGGTGATCTTCCAGTCTGTACCTATTGTACGCACAAAAACCAATATAGGGAAAGCGGATTAAGGGATGTACACACATAATAATTGTGGACAGCCCAAATCTGCGTTCCTCGTGTGCCAGACTGCCTAAGAGTGCGATCTGGACTTGATCCTAAACAGATTCAACACAAAAATAAAACCATTATTGGGGCGTAATGAATAAACTGACTAATATTTTCAATATGCATCTTAATTCAAGGAACTGGTGTAAGATATTGGCAACGCGGCAGATTGCACGACCTGGCTCGTCACCGTCGCTGGGCAACATTTGTGCCTTATAACACTTCTCCCGCTCTGTCTCGTACGCATTGAACCGTCAACAAAATTTCGTTTTTCCCGTATATGTATACCTGGAAAGAGATGTTAACTGTCACCTACGCTAACTAAACAATGTTCGTTCTTTCTTCAATCAGTATAATCGCAAAAAATACTTTCCTCTTAGAAGATTAATGTCTACCGGTTGTCCCAATAGTTTAGGTGTAATAGGCGACATCGAAATAAATCGATTCCGATAAAAATGTCCTAGTAAAATATTACTCGTTTTTAGGACATATTGATGACTCTTGAACCAATTAAGTCAAATTTGATATCGTGTTATTACTTAACATTATTATGACCATAGGGTTATGTTTCCTTTAATTCCATTTTTTTATACCGAAGCAGCCGCGCAGGCAGAAGCCTAAATGCCGGGACAGCGCCGCAGCTATGATGATCCCAAAGAAATTTGTTAATGCGATTTTTGAACTGCCTAACGTTAGTAAAACTGGGATAAGCTTCCTCTTATAGATTGCTCCACAATCTCGACACCCTCGCTACAAGGGAGCGAGCGTATCGGCCAGTTCTGGATGTACGAAGTTCGACTCGGTAAGATGGGACGCCAAAGTCAGGCGGGTCTGTCTGGCAGGCACATCGCGCGGCGGCGACATGGAACAGAGCTCTGAGGAGCAAAACCAGTTGTGTAGCTGTAGAAAAGAGCTAGATCGCCGACGGCCCGCCGATGCAAAAGGGTCTCGAGACTATCTGTTAAAGAAGAGTCATCGATCAGTCGGACCGCCCTCCTGTAGACAGCATCGAGCATACCTAATGTAGTCGGGGTGGCAGCACCACAAATATGTGAGCAATATTCGAGACTAGGCCTTATCTGGGCCTTGTATAGAGTGAGAAGGTCCTGCGAAGAAAAGTACTTCATAGCCCTAAACAAATAGCCTAGCTTTTTCCCAGAAGCTGCCGCTATTGACAAGATGTGTTCGTTCCAGTCCTCGGTGACCCGGACTGCGACCAGCCGAAATGAACGGCCCTTTGGCAGAATTCGGCCAGCCATCGAAAACGGACGAGCGCTAGGACGCTTTTTGTTCGTTAAAGTACAGTACTGTGTTTTGGAAGCATTAAACTGCAGTGATAACCTCCAGGTCTCTCGTCAGAGAGGAAGTCGTCACTAGTCTTCTTTTTTCCAGGTCAGCGGCAGAGATCGGCTTGTCACTCTGAATTCCTGGATGTAGAGCGTTGTCATCAGCGAAGCTGTGGATTGGGTTGATCGCGCAGGAAAGGAGGTCGTTGATATGTAAGAGAAACAGTGTCGGAGCCAAGAACGATCTCTGGGGAACACCCGCGTTGACGTTGTGGGATGAAGAGGTGAAGCTGTCAATTACAACTGATATCTTGCGGCCAGAGATAAAGTCGGCCACCCGTCTGCAAAGCTTTTTTGGGAGGCACTAGGTTGGAAGTTTGCTTAAGAGGGCAGCGTGCCACAGCTGATCGAATGCTTCCGTGATATCAAGAGCAAAGCGTTTATTCCAGAATTGCGTGACGTAAGCTAGGAGGTCCACTGTGGATCGTTCTTGCCGGAAACCATACTGCCTGTTGCTAATCAAGCTGTGACGTTCGAGGTAGTCCATCTCCACCACCTTACTTATAACAGAAAGCAGAGCAAAGGCCTGTAGTTGTAAGGGTTGGTCTTAGATCCGTTTTTGGGATGGGCTGGACATGAGCAAATTTCCAGTTTTCTGGGAAGGAGCCGGATTCTTAAGATATCTGGACGAGAGGCGAAAGAACTGGAGCAAGCTCCGCTGCACATCTCTTCAGTGCAATGACAGGAATCAAGTTCGGACCCGAAGCTTTGTTGATGTCGAGCGACAAGAGCACTCGTTTTATGGTCTTAAGCCTGAATGTTACCTCTCGCATAGTGTAGGGAACCCTTTGAATTGACGGCGTTGGAGGGGATGTCCATGGTGGAGTTGGCAGCAAAGATCTTGGCAAGCACTTCTGCCCTGGCCTTTGAGTTGGATACAATCGTTTCATCCTGACACCTAAGTGGTGGAAAGCTACTGTGTGAGAAGTTCTTTTCAAACTGCTTGGCCAGCGTCCAGAAAGACCCACTTCCATTGCGCTGCGACATTACCCTGTGCCCAAGTTTTATATCGTGCTGGTTTTTGCATTGCTTCGTTATATTTGTTTCTGGACCCGACGTCGACCTATCTGTTCTGTACAGTAGGGTTTTGTAAGAAGATTCTGTGTGCCTTGATCTTCTGCTCGCGAACAGTGTCACACGATTTCTTAAGCCAGCCCTTGGACCCTGATTTAGGCACTTTTACTTTGTGAGGGATGTATTCTTCCATTTCGACGTGGATAATTTCGGTTTTCTAAGAACAGGCAGCCGACGCATCCGTGTCAGTGAAGCAGACATCTCTCCGCGGAAGGGTAGAGAAGAAGTCTCTGAACACCTCCCAGTCGGCATGTCGGTAATGCCAAGTTTTGCGGCCTGTACGAGTTTCTGCGGCCACTGCGGGTCCTGACCGAAACCTAACCTTCACAACCCAAAACACCGTGGTCTGAGTTACCCAAAGGGGGACAGGACAGCAGTGCCGTAAGGGGCAGGATGCGTCGTCAGAAAGAGATCCAGCAGGCTACTGACATGTGACGAGACACGGAGGGGAAAAGTAGGGCTCGTCACCAGCCGGGTCAGCCCTTGAGTAAGAGCGAACGCTTCGACTGCGCGTCCTGCTGCATCGGTCTTGTTTGAGCCTAACCAAAGCTCATTATGGGCATTGAAATTACCGAGAAGAGCTACCTCTGAACCGGGATGATTGATGCTCATGAAATCGATCTTGACGGGGAGGTATTCGAGTAGGTGATCCCAGTTATGGTCCGAGGAAGAGCGAGAGAAGTATCAAATAAGTTTGATTGATGTTTTGGAGTTGAGACGAAGCCACAGAATGTCCTTCCGGTCTGATTCCAGAGAAACAACAGGAATGAATGTTGCGGACAGAGGCCACAACTCCCCCGTTCTTTCTCAGATTGAAGTACACCTCGTAATTTGGGAAGCTAATATTAATCGGTGCGGACTCTGAGATTTTTGTCTCTGCCAAGAAGAGCATAGCGGGACGATTGGATTGCAAGTAGTGATGAACAGCATCAATGTTGCTGTTAATCCCGCAGATGTTTATGAAAATCCCTCTAGTGTACCCTCCACCCGGACATTCCGAGAGTGGAGTGAGTTTACGTCCGGGATCCATAGTCATTAATTTCTTTGTTTTGGAAGATAACCGACTGCATAGCGTAGGTGTGTGAACATGCGGACATTTACAGAATACCCTCAGAAAAGCTAGCGGGTGATACCGGCTTGGTCTACTGGTCCTTGTCTACCACCTTCTTTTTGCGTGTTAATGATATTAAATAGACCTAAAGTGGACCGTTGTCGGACTTGTACCGGCACCCGGCAATCCGTCCTGAGGTATTCCTTAACGCGTGTACAATCACTTGAACGGGAAGAAGTTGTATACTGGATACAATAACTTCCAGAACAAGCATTTGCCACGGGGCTCCGCTCAGTAGGATGAGTACCCCGCTCAGTAGGATAAAGCCCCGCTCAGTAGGATGAGGATATGTTAATTATTCTGGAAATCAATTAAAAATTTGTTTTTCTGATGAATGTTTTGCTGTATGAAATGAATATATGCGTACCTATAGGCTTTTCAACCGATGTCTTGTTTGTTTTATTCTTCAAGCTGTCTTCAGGTTTACGTCTCTTATTTTTGTTCTTCTTCCTTTTGGCACTGGTTTTCTTCTTTTTGTTCCCTTTCTCTCCTTTATCACCTTCCTTATTAAGATCCAACTCTCCCTGTTTAGCTTCTGCAGGCAACACACTCGAGGAATTTGTTTTTATCAGGTTAGTATCGCCTTTATCTGTCTTAGGTAGTTTTATAGTTGTAGATGGTGCAACTGTCGTAGTGGTAGTAGTAGTTGTGGTAGTAGTTGTGCTGGTAGATACTTTTTTGGTAGGCACTTGAGTTGTACTAGCATTTTTCTTAGCATTAGACAGCTCCGAAGCTTTAACTTTCGTGAGCTTCGTGATTTCTTTTATCACTTTCGGGGGAACCGTTGTAATAGTTTTAACTGTAGGTTTCTTTGTTGTTGTAGTAGTAGTAGTAGTCGTTGTTGTACTAGGAATAGTCGTCGTAGTCGTTGTCGTTATACTGATCTTCTTCTTGAAGTACGGCTTAATGATCTTCGTGGGCTTTTCAGTAGTATTGTCTTCTTTCTTTACTTTCTCCCCGAGTTCAGGTTTCTTAGTACCGCTTGACGTTTGCGAGGTCTGTCCACTAAGCAATATCCAAGTCGATATTCCGGAATCAGTTGTTGGTTTCTCGTATTTATGGAAATGCGTCATTTTATTAGCTTCCTCCAGCTCTATGCTATCTTCATCGATTGGGATTGCAACTCCAGCATGAGAATTCTCTTCTATCTGCGGTAGTTTGTTTTTAATTTGTTGCTTAATTTTTGGTGGTGTTCTAACGTCCATAGTAACATCGATGGATGTCACGTTCCTGTCTGTTAAATGCTTTGTGAGTTTTTTGACAGACTCGCCCATTCCATATTGAGATCTGTAATTGAAAAGACAATGTTAAGTAAAACTTGCCCATATTGGAGATCTAAACTAATGGACAGTTGCTTTGCAACTTGAAAAAATTTACCCAAATTGAAATCTTGATATTTTCGGAACCGAAAGAGATATCGGGTTGCGGTATTCGGGAGGTTCTTGACCACCTCTTTGATCACATGTACAGGATTCGATCGGTATATTTATTTTATGTATCCACTTATTCAGGGTGAGCAAAGGAAGTCATGTTTCTTTATTAAAGTTTGGGGCTATGTCAGATTCCCAATTTTTGATCTTAGAAATTTTCCTATGTAACTTTTTGATCTGTAGACTATCCTAAAAAAGTGATTTCTCAAATTTTGTCAAAGTTGGCTATAACTCAGATTATCAAATTTTAAATGTCTTTCGGCTCGACCTAGTATTTCTCTCTCCATGCAAATAGGACGTTTCTCCGATTTCATCCTAACTATCTACACCTCAAACATGCAATTGCTAAGTAACAATAATATTGACGGAAGACTTTACAGTATAATTTTATTTTCTCAAACAAAATTGTATAAGATTATTGGGAGAAGGTCCTTTAGTGAATAATGTATCTTTAATTTGTAATGTTGATCGGTCCTCAATACTCCGTTTATTACATAGATATCAGGGGAAACGTCTTACTTCCTGCGATAAATGTCTTTCGGCTCGACCTCGTATTTCTTTTTTTGATTACCTCCTCCATGCAAGTAAGACGTTTCCTCTGATATCTACGTATTAAACGGTGTGTTGAGGACCGATCAACATTAAAAATAAAAGCTACATCGTTCACTAAAGGACCTTCTCCCAATAATCTTATACAATTCTCGCGTTCTTTTTGAAAAATACGAGGCATGTTTGAGAAAATAAAATTATACTGTAAAGTCTACCCTCAATATTATTGTTACTTAGCAATTGCATGTTGTAGGTGTAGGATGAAATCGGAGAAACGTCCTATTTGCATTGAGAGAGAGAAATACTAGGTCGAGCCGAAAGACATTTATTGCGGGATGTTGAAAATTTGATAATCTGAGTTATAGCCAACTTTGACAAAATTTGAGAAATTACTTTTTTAGGATAGGCTGAAGATTAAAAAGTGCATAGGAAAATTTATAGATCAAAAATTGGGAATCTGGCTTAGCCCCAAACTTTACTAAAGAAACATGACTTCCTTTGCTCACCCTGTATAAGTGGATACATTAAATAAATATACCGGTCGAACCCTGTACATGTGATCAAAGAGGTGGTCAAGAACCTCCCGAATACCGCAACCCGATATCTCTTTCGGTTCCGAAAATATCAAGATTTCAATTTGGGAAACATTTTCCATGTTGCAAAGCACCAGTTTATTTCACATTTTGTATGAAATAGTCTATTGTACCGGGTGTGCCGTTTGTAAAGGACACTGGCTGTTGGCGAGATGCTAACCACTCAAATCAGTTTCGAAATAACAAAAGTAGCACAGAGAAAATAGTGGAAATTATTTCCAGCTGACCGGCATCGTATTTAGAGGAAGACAGATTTTTCTTAAATAACAGTTTGAACGATCTTGCATAACTTAATGAAACTTATACAGCCTAAGAACCAGTTGAAGCGCATAAAGAACTACTCTACTTATTTAAATCGTGCAGCATGAACTAGTATTAACACAATATTGGCGATACTTTTTGCACCCTATATCGAGCGTTTCATAATCGGCCCTCACCACTGGAATCGCAGAAAATGTAACTTAGGAAGTTTCGTTATTCAGAGAATTTATCTGTGTAAAATTCCAATGTGGCGTTCATCTCAAAATTCCAATTATGCTTTGTAGTCCAGCAAATATAAAATCATTGGAGGAACTTGTACCCTACAAAATCCAACCCATAAGTCCTCGAGTTCGTTCTTCGGGATGGCCTTTTGATGCTGAACTATGAGCGATCGTGTAGGGGGGCAACGAGCTGCTGGTTTTTCGGTGGGTCGCCTCGAGCAAGTTCGAGGTGACCCGCCGAAAAGCTGGAAACTCTGCTAATTAGATGATTCATTGGGTCACATGTGTCCTGGACGTATGTTTCGAACGCCTGGGCAATGGTACACAACAAAACCTAAGGTGTGGCTTTCTGTGCTTAGGGGTGCGTGGCGGTGAGGATGCACCATCGTAAACGGAGCCTCAGGGATACCGGGCGATCTTCCAGAATATTTAGGCTTGCATCCGTGTAGAGGGCTCCGTGGACGTCGACTGTCATTTACCCTCATAATCGTGGGAACAATTATGGACCGCAATGAAGATAAAAACCCCGAGGTACCCCTAACAGGGGACCCCGACCGTACTGTGACAGAGGTATCTGTCAGTAACCTGGCTAGAGAGCTCACTGAAGGGCCGGACTCTCTAAACATTAAAAAAATCTCGTTCTGGAGCTGAAAAGGAAGGGGCGCTGGAAGCGGAAGGTGGCGCGGATGGCGGGAGGTACGGAAGGTCGGAGCACCGTTTCAGGGACTCCATCCGTCAGGGCCCAGCCGCCGTAGGGGCGACACTTGTCGGAACTGGTCAGGCACCAAACTAGTGGTCTGACCAGGGGCAATCCGGGCCGACTAGAGATGCTGTGATGATCCCTCACAGGAGACGGGTCAGCCGGGACAGCTCTCGCTGGAACCTCCGGCTGTTACGAACAGGGTGACGGCAGGTCTTAGAGGTGTATCCGAAGGAAACATCAAGGACGGGCCGGCGCACATACGAGTATTTGAATTAAAAACCGGACAAAAGTCGATTTTGCAGAATAGCTCGTATCGCATAACTGGTATGTGCCTAAAGGTACGTCCACACTGGAGCAACAGTTGCTAAATCTTTAAAGTCATTAAAGATTGACATAAAACAAACTGTCCTCACTAGTGCAACAATGTTAATGAATGTTTGCACTTGTCGAATCTCAAATTCAGTTGAGTACAACATTCGGTCCACACTGCTGTAGTTTTGTGACAATGGAGGAAGACTTATTAACTGCTACCGCGTGCTTTCTAATTTTGTGTGGTGTTTCACGAAAACGGAAGCGTAAATGTTGGGTCCGTCCAAGTTTGAAGAAAAGGGAAGAATATGGTGGACAGGAATTATTATCGGATTTAAAGAAAGATGACGTATTATTAGAACTTCGAACAGATGGGTGCTTTAAAAATTGTTTGCGCATGAGTGGTTCAGATATAGAATTTTTGCTGAAAAACATTGCACCAGTGATTAGAAAAGCAGATACAAACTGTAGAAAGGCTATACCTCCACAAGAACGATTAGCTGTAACATTGCGCTTTTTGGCAACTGGAGATTCCTACACCAGCTTGGTGTATTTATTTAAGATTTCGAAACAAGCTATCTTAAAGATAGTACCAGAAGTAACGCAATTAAAGACCAAGTTATGGTAAGTATACTTTATTGAACTTTTTTTATTGATAAATTTACAAGTTTTACATGTTACTTAATTCAAATGCCTCTGCGATAATGTTTGAAGAACCAAAAGAAGTAGAGGAGTCTGAAGAGTTTTGTATGTGTGTCTCCGCTGATGATGTAGCTGGTGTGCTGCAATACGACGAATGTGATTGTGGTCTCGTGAAAGGTTGCATTGATAAAATTGGCGCATGTGTGTCAGTTGATTGTTGCATTCCATAGTCATATTTACCCATACTTGAATCGAACAAAATATTACTTATAAGATGTTCTACAATATTTTGTGCGCAGGTGGTATTCGAGTCCCTAATTTTACACGCCACATGTTCTCCAAATACATCGAATTTGTCCCGTTGTCGTTTATTTTGTATGTCTTTAATTATTTTATATGCCTCTTCTTTTCGAGCATTATCATCGATTGTTCTTTTTTTAAGTGTTTGTGTGACACGTCTAGTTTTATTAGGGTGTTTAAATTCATCAAGATTTGTGCTGTTCGGATTTTCCACGGTTTCCTTACGAGGCTCTTGAGAGGCTTTGTTAGATGCCGAAGGCTCCTGACAATCAACGTTACATGTTGATGGCTTTTGAGAACCATCGTTAGACAAGTCTTCCATGCCTTGGTTGCCATTTTCTACATCTTGAAATTCTTGGGTCTCACTTCCTCATTCATCACAGTCTGTTACCTGTGAATAATCCAAGTCACTTTCGGAGGAAGAGCCATTAAGGTCATCCTGAAAAGAAAAATACATTGTATTAAATGTAATTACAGTGATCTACATTTTTAGCCTAAGTAATGTATATCTTTGTGTTTCAGATGCCTAAAACTGCTCAAGAATGGGAAAGAATTGCTAATGGTTTCAGTGTTGTTTGGAATTTTCCAAAATGTGTAGGCGTCATGGATGGCAAGCATGTTGCAATACAAGCACCAAAAAATAGTGGAAGTGATTTCTTGAATTACAAATCGTTTTTTAGCATCGTTCTGTTCGGCGTAAAGGATGCTAATTACCGTTTTTTGTATGTTCATGTAGGAGTTTTCGATAATACATTATTCAAAAAACTATTAACTCGCTGCAAACTCAACCTTCCAGAATATAGCGCTTTACCAGGACGTGAGAAATTAGTCCCTCACGTATTTTTAGGGGATGATGCCTTCCCATTATCGCCAAATTTACTGAAACCCTACCCTGGGGCTCAGGATAAAGGGTCTCCCAAGAGGATATTTAATTACCGTCTCAGTAGAGCCAGAAGAATATCAGAAAATGTTTTTGGAATGTTATCTTCGATTTTTAGAATATTTAGAAAACCATTACTTTTAGAACCAGAAACTGCAGAAGTTGTTGTTATGGCCTGCATTTACTTGCATATTTTTTACGGAATAATTCAGGATCTGAAGCTTCCTACAATCCCCCAGGTACATATGACGGTGAAGATAAAGATACAGGACGTGTTTTAGAAGGATCGTGGAGAAGAGAACCTCAGAGTAATACGTTTACTCCATACAAAAAAGTTGCACGAAATGCATCAACTGAAGCAAAAGATATTAGGCAAGAGTTTGCTCATTTTTTCGTTACACCTTTGGGG